CCTGTCCATCCACATGTACAGCACATGCTGCCCTCACCTGGCTCCAGGGGCAAACAGCCCATCTGGCCATGACACAGTCAACTGGTGACCGAGATTAGAATGACAAAGGAGAAGGGAGACAATGGAATAGGTGGATCTGTCCCAGCAGAGAAGTTTTGGGAGGAGGGTATCCCCAGGAAGAGCAGCAAGAGAAGGGGGAACAGACATTTTGGGCAGGAGGAAGAGCCTGGGTAAAGACACCATGGCTGCTGGAGCACTGTGGAGACAGGGGCAAGGGAGGCATTCATGTTGTGCAGGGCTGAGGAGCAGGGAGAGATCTGAGGCCAGTCACACAGCCAGGGACATGGTCACTGCAAATTTCCATGGCTGCCGCAGGGAGAGGGTGGGGATGTTGGAGCAAAAGTGGGAACAGGGAAGAGGTAGATGCACGCATCCAGTGTGAGGGTTGCTGCTGGCTGCTGGTGCCAGAGGGAGGAAAATGTGGGGACTCAGAGACAAGAGAGGGTAGAGCTAGGGTGAAGGCAGACAGTGACCAAGGCTTCCCCAGGTTCAGGGAGCTGCAACATAGAAGACCCCTGCAGGGGCAGGGAGAACAAGCCCAGAGGTCATTTCCCTCCCTCTACTCCCAGGTCCAAGAGAGGCCTGAGAGGCAGCCCAGGAGAGGGCAGATGGCACAAGGGGATAGAGCTGCACACTGGAAATTCTGGGTCCCCAGTGACAGCCTCAGCGCCAAGCGCTGCTGCCTGAAGGGTGTGAAGTGTGCTATGCCTCACCCAAAAGAGCTCCTTCTCCCCAAGTGATGGCCCTAGACAATGCCTGAAATGCCACTGTCATTCCCACAGGCTGAACCCAGCTCTGTCCTGAGTCTGCTTTATCTGGTCCCCTCCCTTCCGTCTAGAGAAGGGAGCAGAGCCAGGGGAGGACAGTCTCCCACTGGGGTGGAGGTGTGACCACAAGCCAAAGATTCCACCATCTGCCCTGGGGCACCCCCAGGTACCCGTGGGGAGGCTGCTTTCCCTCCCCAGGACCCGAGCATGGGCCATTTGGGAGTCCAAGGTGGGTGCCTTTTGGCCCAGCCTCAGTGCCATCTTCTGGGCAATGAGACACAAGCCCCACCTGGCAGGTGCGCCATCAGAATGAGATGCTGCAGCAGGCCACACAGTGGGTGCTGGAGAATGGCTGGGTGGCTCACTCTGGCCCAATCACTGGGTGGACTGGAGGGGGGTGGGTTTTGCTGACGTGTCCTCCTCCAAATTGTTCCCCTCTCCTGATCAGGGGATGCATGTGTTGCTTACTTGTGTCCACTGCCTGGCCAGCCTGGTGCCTCATATGCCAGGCCTGGATCCACTCAGCAACTTCACCAATCACGACCCCTACTTCACAGATGGTGACACTGAGGCTCAGAGACATTAAGTGGCTTGCCCGAGGTCACTCAGCTCAGGAGAGGATGAGCTGGGACTTGAACTAACACCCAGCTGACATCAAACTCTGTGCTCTTTACCACCAAGAGGCCTAGGGTACTCCAGGCAGCTCCCTTTCGCCAGCCCCTGCAGCCTCACAGGTTCCCCCATCAGCCTGGGGCATTCTTGCAAGACCCTGTCTGGGTGGGGTTGTGGGGTGTGGCCAGGCTGCTGGGTGTTCACTGGGAAGGTCTGAGTGGAGGGGTGAGATTAGCTCCATTCTACAGATGGGGTTTAGCAAGACCAAGTTTCTGTCCTAACATCAAACACAGCTAGGACTGGGAGTGTGACCCACTGGCAGACCACTTGTCTAGCATGTATGAGGCCCTGGTTTCCATCCCTAGCACCTAAATAAATAAAAATGTAAAAATCAAAGACAGAAATTCAGCCTGACTCCAGGGGTGGATCTTAACCATTCCACCTAGACACCTCCTCTCAGAAGTTCTCTCTGATGTGGACTCTGACTCTGACAGCTTTAGGGAACTGCTGGCCTGGCCTCTACATACCCACAGTCCTGTAAACACATTTGCGTTTAAGTTAAACCTCATGTCTTGATGGCCAGGGACTCCTCCACATCTGCCCTCACCCTCTGGGGATGTCACCCCCAGAGTTATACAGCGCATAGTCTGTCCATCATGGCATTGAACTTACACCTGGGCACACAGTAGGTACTTTAATCTGTCAATAACTATAACCACCACAACTGCCTTGCAATGAAACCTCCTACTGCTATCAGCCCTTTCCCTGTGTTATTTCACTGAATCTTCAGCCAACACTACCAGGCAGGTGCTATGCCTATGCCTCGCCATTCTACAGGTGACAGAACAGAGGCTTTGAGGCCAACGACCTACCCTCCACTGGGTTGCCCAGCCAGGAGGGTGGGAACAGATTTCCAAAAGGGCCTTCCCGCTGGGCTGGACACTGTTCTCAGCAACCTGAACCACCAGGCCTGACCCTGTCATTAGTTCAGGTGTGAACACCAGCTCCCATACCTGTCATTAGGAACCAGGGCAACGGGAGCAACGGGGTTCACACCCTGCCCAGGCCCTCCCCAGTTTCAGCTGCCAAAAGGCTGGCAAACAAGGAGGGGCAGGTCCCTCGGTGGCTCTGTTCATGGATCCGCACTTGTGTGGTCTTAAACCCTTGACTCTGGGTGTAAAGTCCTGACTCAGGGCTCCTGGGTCCCCAGGCTCAGGAGGACACTCCTGGCCTGGGCACTTCCTGGGTGCTGGAGCATTGCTCTTCCAGCAATCTAAAGTGGGAGACATTTATCACCTCCCCTGCTTTGCAGATGAGGAAACTGAGGCACAGAATCATTCTGTTGATATGGCAAAACCAGAATTGGATGTGACAGGCATGTGCTCCCAGGCCCAAAGTTCCTATCACCTCACCAAGCTGAACCTTATTACAAATCTCATCCACCCCAGACAATGGAGGAGCCCCTAGAAAACTTGCCTATAATCCCAACACTGAGAGGCCAAGGCAGGATTGCAGCTTCAAGCCCAGCCTGGGTAATTTGTCTAGGCCTTGTCTCAAAAAATAAAAAAAGAGCTGGCGATGTACTCAGAGGGAGGGTCTTGGGTTCAAGCTCTAGTACTTAAAAAAGAAGGAAAGGAAAAAAGAAAAAGAACGCCTATTTTTTCAGAGGGTGGCTCCTTGAAGCCAGTGACTGCAGGTTACTCAGAGCCACAGTTAACTTCTGTGATGGTTGCTACAGGGCTGGAAGGCACCAGGCAACACTCGAGAGATTCCCGTTGACAGACCAGGGCACAGGGCCGCCCCACCCCACAAATGGGGTTCATAAATGAGGCTCTGAGCTAGGAGATCACAAAGGGAACTCCTGGTCCCTACTCAGGGCTCTGACAGGGATCATCCTTACTGCTAAGGTGACAGCAAGGACAGAGCCTACACAGTATTTCACTCATCCTGAGGGGGTGGGTATGGGAATGCTTTCTGGAGGAAAACAACCTCTAAGCCCTAAGCAGAGATCTGGGGCCAAAGAGTGTCAGCCAAGGACAGGGGGCGGCAGCCACGGCTAGGAGGCTTCAGGACCCTCTGTTCTTGCCCCCAGGCTCTGAAAAGGATGGGAGGCCTTCCTTCTTCCCCTCCCCACTGGGTGGAGTGGAGGCAAAGGGGAGGCCTGGCCTGTGGCCTGGTGTGTGGGATCTGCATACTGGGGGTGTAGGGGGGTGGAGGCGGAACATCACAGTTGTGTGGGGCTGGCGCAGAGCATCCGATTGTGCAATGCCCTGGAGAACTGTGCAGGGACTGGACCAGACCCTGGGCGGGCCTTGAGTGCCAGCTGGACCTGCCATGGAGGAAAAGGGTCCAGCCCAATCTCTGGGGTTGTGAAAGATGGGGCGGGGAAGTCTCAAAGAGGGGGAGAAGCGCCTTTAGCTGCCAACAGCCCCAACTTGAGATATAGGCTGGTTTCGGATCCCAGGGCGGCAGAACTTCTGCCAGGGCTGGAACTCAGGGGAGGGAGGCCAGTGCCCATACTCTAGCCCGAGTGCCCAGGTCCCAGGGCACCAGTCCAGAAGGTGGGCTGGGCTGTGCAGGCCTGGGGGAGCAGGCCAGAGTCCGGAGTCTCCAGCCTTCCTGTGGCCTGGGGGGGGGGGTTTGGGGAGCTGATGGAGGGAACAGAGGGGGACTCCTACCTAAGGGTAGCTTTAGGGGACACTCCTGGCCGGGTCCCCACCTGCCTGGAGTTCCATGCGGGGAGCCCTCGTCGTTTTCCCAGGGGTGGCGGGGTGGGGTGAGAGGGCAAGGCAAGGGGCCGAAGTCTTGCCCCACTTTCAATCTCAGCATCTCCACGAGGCTCCCCCAACCGGTTATTAAGTGAACACATCGGGCTTATCAACACGGCCGTGGGCTGCTCTCAATGCAAACACATCAAGACATGTCATTCCCTTCCCAGGCCGCCCTGGGAACCCGCGACTCACAGACACCGCCAGTTTCGGAGCCAAGGAATGGGGGTGGGGGTGGGGAGAGACACACTCCTGAGAAATCCGGACACCGCCCAGCAGTCCCACAGAATGCGCCGTCCTGGAGGCAGGGGGTGCTTTTCCTGTGCCCCGCCGCCACCGCCTCTGGGCGTGGCTGGAGCGCAGAGAGGCCAGAGCCCGGCAGCAGGTGGCTCTCACTTCCCAACTCCGCAACGCCGCCAGGAGCACCTGCGCGCTCTCCAAAGCGCCCTGGGGAGCGCTGTTTCCGGGCCACCTGCTGCCTCTTTCAGACGCTCCGTTCTGCACTCCGTCGGTGATTCTTAGACTCCCAGCCTAAGGGCGACCCTGGGACCCAGAAGTGTCCTGTACCCCCAACTCAGTTCCCCGCTGTCTAAGCTCCCCAGGTTGCGTTCCCTAGGCTCCTAGGGTCCTCCAGGCCACACTTAGAGGCCCGCTCTGGACGACCCTAGGGTCGCCCCCGAGTGGTGCCCCTAAAGCCTCGGGCGATGTTCCCCGGCGCTCAGGCGCCCCTCACCTCCGGGTCTGCACCGTAGGACTGTATTTGCCCTTGTTTCTCTTCCTGAAGAGCGAGTTCATGGTGGGGCGTGGGCGGCGGGGCACAGGTGAGCGGGCGGCACTGAGAGCCCCGAGTGCGGGCAGCCGCGGCGCAGGACACTACTCGCGAGGGGAGCAGCGCGCGGCTTCTCGCTTGGTGGCCGCTCCCCGGGAAGGTGGCGCCTACCTTCCCCGAGCGGGCGGGGCTTCAGCGCAACCCCGGCGAGGGCGGTGTCCGCGGGGCCCAACTGGTGAGGACGCGAAGCCAGGGCCGGACGCCGCCCCCGAGGACGGCCGGGGGACTCCAGAGGCCCTGCCCAGTCAGGGGCGCACGGGCCTCCGCGGCGAGCGCGCTGCCCCGCCCCCCACGCACCTGGGCCCTGGCGCGCTCCCTGGCAGAAGGCGCTCACCTGGTGCTGCGCTGCCGGAGCTCAGCGCGCTCCTCCTTTGGCAGACGCGAAGCTGGTTGCCCGGGCAGGTGTGGCCGAGATAGGGTGTGGGGCCATCTCTGTGCCCGGATGGCTGGTGAGTTACCTCAGGTGGTAGCAATGAGGATGGTGATTTTGAAAACGGGGCTCTGGAGCGCCGGCCAGAGCTCACAGCCTGATACCACACTTGATAAACTGAGACTCCTTTGCAAGGCGTTTTACTGCTCTTGGCTTCAATTTTCTTCTTCGTCAAAGGGTGATAACTATGCCCCAACATCTCAAAGAGCAGTGAGGAGATTCCTGCAAACAGTGCACACAAAGCGCTTGGCACAACTTACTGGCCAGAATGTTCTGGGAGCTTGGTTACTACTATCATTCAGGGCATCTAGGGTGGACAAAAAATCCTTTGAAACGTTCTCAACTCTAGGTCCCGGCACGACAGTAGTGCTGCATGGCTGCCATAAAAGCTTCTCGGTTCTGGTTCACAGTAGCCACATTGTACAGCTCGGCCAGAGTGTGTGTGTCTGTGGGGGGTCGGCAGTGGGGAAGGCTGCAATTGGACAGAAAACGAATCTAGGTAGGATTCATGCGGCCAACAGCTGGGGGCCTCAGGCTGCTCTGGAAGGGGGGGGGCGTGCTTTCTGATCCCACCTGGGATGGAAGAGGTCCCGTGGTCTCCAAGGCGACACCAGCAGTCAGGTCCATTATGGCCAAAGGGCCATTAGAGATTCGACAGGGAGCAATGCAGTCTTACAGGCGTGGGGAGACAAAAACCCCAGACAGGGTGTCCAGATTCAAGTTCACCTGTCTAGATCTTCAGTCTGTTCTTTCCCCACCTGTTTCTTATTTATAAAATAAGGAGGTTGAAGCCAGGTGTGGTGATGTATCCATGTAATCCTAGCACTCTGGGAGGCTGAGGCAGGAGGATCACAAGTTCAAGGCCCACCTGGGCAATTTAGCAAGATCCAGTCTCAAAATTAAAAAAAAAAAAAGGTTGGTGAGCAATTGATGCCTGAGGACTTTTCCTGCCCCAGGCCCCAGATACCTAAGGCTACTCAGTGTCCTTCAGGCCATCTCTTTCCCCTGCCTCCAAAGGGTAGTGATTTCTACGTGTTGTTAAGGACTCCAGGAAAACCTTATCCTTACCAGGGCCTCTGAGGGCCGACTTGAGGGATGTGATTCCTCCTAGTCACTTCCAAAGGCATTTTCCTGGGCTAGGGTCTCTGTGGAGTCCTTTGTTCATTCCCTCATTCAAGACAGGTGCCACCTGCCTGACCTGGTCATGCCTGGCTCTGCTCAGGGCACATTGATGAGCAAAGGGAAAAGCCAGAACGCAGGGAAGAGCTTTTCTCTTGAGTGACTTGAATTCAGTCTTGAAGAGGGAGCACTTTGTGTGTGTGTGGTACTTGGGACTGAACCCAGGTCTTCACAATGAGCTATACTCCCAGCCCTGCCCTCTTACATTCTTGAGACAGAGTCTCACTAAGTTGCTAAGTTGCCCAGGCTGGGCTTGAACTTAGTGATCCTCCTGCCTCAGCCTCCCAGACTGCTGGGATCACAGGTGCACCCCTCTGGGGTCAGTGCACCTCCACTGACTTTTTGAAGAGAACTGAGGAAAAATGCAGGACTCCCCTCCAACCATCCAGAGGCAATGGTCCCAAGGTTTGCATCAGAATCTCTGGGGGTTGGGGAAGGTTGTAAAATGCAGATTCTAGGCTCTGGCACCCTTGAGGTCCTACCTGGGGAGTCTGGGAAGGGACCCAAGAATCAGAAGTGTTAATGAGTCCTCCTTCCACCTCTCTGAGAAGCCAGGAGAGAGAGAGAGAGAGAGAGAGAGAGAGAGAGAGAGAGAGAGAGAGAGAGAGAGTTTCTGCCTGCAGCCCCACAACCAAAAAAGCTACCCAGGAAACCTACCTTCCACCCTGCCCTGGTTCTGCCTGGCTCCCCTCTCCCAGCTGGCCAAGGCTGGTGTTCCTTGTGGGCAAGTAAGGGCTGGAGCAGTTCCCTTGCTTCTAAAGTGAGCTCCCTTCCGAGTCTGGGGCACCAAGGGCATGGGTCCTCCAGGCTGCTGCCTTGGGAGAAGGTGTCAGAGAGGACCCAGAGTTTCAGAACTCAGGTGTGTAGGGTGGAGGTGGGGGGACCTGGGACCATAGAAGCCAGAGCTCCACCCTCATAGACCCTTCCTCACAGGGGGGCTGGACAGGGACTCTGTTAGTCTTGCCTGCACACTCTCCCCTTTAGTGTCCTTCTTTTCCCTGACCCTATAGGGGGGCTCTCTAGCCCGAATTCCATCTCTATGACACTGTTGCTGGAGGAGGAAGCTCTGGAGACCCCTGACAGCCACGAGGGAAGTTGGTTAAATAGGCCAGGGTGGGTGGACACGGGGAAGACTTCATAGCTGGAAAAGAAAAGTGGACAAATGGACAGAAGACACTCACAGGGTAAGGGCCAGAGGTTCAGTGCAAGAGAGAGCACAGCTAGTTTGTTGGAGAGAGAGAGAGGGAGAGGGAGAAGGGAAGGGAGGGGAAGAAGGGGGAGGGAGGGAGCATGTGTGCAGTATGCTTTTGTATACACAGACACTTCTAGAAGGGCTCATGAGAAGCTTTAGCTGTGTTCCCTCAGGAGGAACAAGAGAGAAATCTGAGTTTTCACTGGGGAAAGAAGGCAGACAGCCTAAATAGACCAGGTTTGAGTCCCTGCTCAGACCCTTTCAGTCATTTTGTCTCTCTGAGCCTCAATTTCCCTCACTTGTGAAGTGGGCAAGTGGGGCGTCAGCTCCCTGGGGTGAGATGCTGTGACTTAAACAGCTAGCAGGGCCCTGGTGGTGGGAGGGGGCCTTAGCAAAGGAGAGGGGACAGTATCTGCAGCTGGAGGATTTTTGCTTGTGTGTCCTTGGGGTAGCCTCTGCACTGGAGCTCTGAATATGGTCAAAACACAGGCTTCTGGGAGCTTTGAAGCCCCCAGCCCACAATGCCTGGGAAGGTGAAGGTGGGTTTGAACAAGGGAGTTGGGCCAGATTTCTCCAGGTCAACAGGCCTGTAGCTCAGCCACTGAATACCTGATGACATTGATAGCGGGGATGCCTTCTCCTCTCATCAAGGGTGAACTCTGCCAGGCAACATGGCAGGTGCCCAGTGTGGTTCCGCTGGTTGGATCCACCCCACCCCCCAGCCAGGGAAGAGGGTGAAGTGGGCCAGAGCCCCGTCCGGGAGTTGGCCAGCTCTTGGCTTTGTTTCCAGGGCAGGGAGCCTGGCTGTGAAAGGCATGGTGCCCAGCTGAGCTCGTGCTTGGTTAGCCGGTGCATAGTATGGCCCCCACCACCACCTGCAAGGGGAGGGGGTGCTGGGCCTGTGCTGACTCAGCCTGGGCTGGCCCAGGGCTGGTGGAGAGAATGAGCAGGTTTAGGGAGGATTCAAGCCATGCCTGTCCATCCTCCCTGTCCATGCTCTGAGAGCTGGGCTCCGAGCTGGTGTGGCTGTGTGTGTGTGCTCGGGTGTGTGCACACATGGACACCGAACATCTCTGGGCAGGCCGGACAGGGTGGGGTCTCTGTTCCCGAAGTGCATCCTCCCCTGGGCAGATGGGAGTTGTTTGGATCTGAGGAGGCCTCTCCTGCCCAGTGACTCATCCCCTCCGTGGCCCTGGATGGGGACCTGCTGCTTCCCTCCAACGTCGGGAGGGTGTTTGCTCTCCTGGGTTTGCTCGATGACCTGTTAACCCCTTGGAGATGGCACCTGCAGGGCCCTCCCAGTCCCTGGCAACCTGGTGACTCTCAGCCCCTGAAACCCATCCCCTTCTGCAGCCAGACCTGGAGGCTTCATCTCCTGAAGGGTCCCACAGACCTCTGTTTGTTGTTTTTGTTCTCCAGCAGCTGGAGAGGTGCTCACTTGGGCTCAGCCAGCAAACCAGTTTGGAACCAGAAGGGCGGCATTCCCCCAGCTGGAGAGGGCACAGCCTGTCCCTCACTGGGTGGATCCAGGCTTCGGTCTCCTGCTCAGGCCCAGGTTCTTCCTCCATAGACATCTTCCCTGGCTCCAACTCTATCCAAACCCCGACCCGGGGAACTTTAAAAAATACAGATTCTGGGGCCTCCCTGAGATGATGTGGTTATGTGAGTATCAGTAGGGGCCAGTATTTTTGCATTTTGAAAAACACCTCTCCCCTGGGATCTCTGAGCCACTCAGAGAAACACAGCTGTGGACAGAGACAGAGATGGAGAACTCTGGGCCTGGCCCCCAAGGCTTTTAAGCTCAAAGCCAACCTAGATTTGAATCCTGGCTTTGCCATACACCCAGCTGTGTAACTTTAGGCAGGTGGCTTAACCTCTCTGGATCTCTCTGGATCTGGGTTCCCCATCTGTAAAAGGGGGAAGAGCCAATGTATATTAGTGTGCAGAGCACCTGGCATGGAGGCTTTTCTCCTCCTGCCTTCCAAGGGGGAAGGAGGGCCTAGCCTAACTTCACCTTGTGTGGGTTTTTTTCACCCTGTGTTTTGTAACATGTGTTTTCTTTTCTTGCAGGACAATGCAAAGGATGGAAAATCATGCTAGACCTCTATCTCACATGGGCTGACTCACACTCCGGCTGGGCTCGGGCCAGGGAACCCCCCTCAACAGCCCCCTGGGGCCACAGAGGAGGCCTGGCCTTGGCAAGGGACAGGAGAGGGTCCACGGTGACTCACATGCTCTGCCTGCCCCTGAGTCATCCTGGGAGAATGTGCCTTGGAACCCCACCCACCTGGGCCCCTGGCAGCCTACTCCAACCTGGCCACCTTGCCCTGCCTGAGGGGACAGCCCCACCCCATTGCCACCCCAGGGAGTCTTGCTCCACTGACTCCCTGCTGGGCCTTCCTAGATGCAGTTGTACTTCTGCAAAATATTGAAACAACGCCTGACTTTCTTGACTAGCAGCTCCTCTAAGCCCCAGCTGCCCTGGTTCTGCCCCTAGGACCTAGCTATGGACACGTCAACCTTCTTTTGGCTCAGCAGGAGGGGCCTCCTGGGCTCTGCCACAACCACAGGCTCTGGCCACCCAAGTTGCCCTCAGCCCATTTGCAGACCCAGGCCTCAGTTTCAGGCATCTCATCTCTAACCCTAGGCCACCTCCAACACGGTCTGCTGCATGTCCCTGGGCCTCTCACACCAGGTTGTGCAGGCTGCCCAGAGAGGAGGGCACCCTGGCAGGGCAGATGGAGCTGGGTAGGGCCCGGCAGGCAGGGCCAGGCCTGGGATCCCTGCAGGACAACGTGCCCAGCCCAGCCCAGTGCCCATCCTCCCCTCCACACCCAGGCTGCTTCCTTTCCACTGCCTCTCCAGCCCTGCCCAGCTCCCACTGCCCAGACCTGCGGGGCTGCATTCTAGGCCCAGGGCCAGGGTGTGACTGACCCTGGGCTGGCCCAGGTCAGCAGGTCAGGACCCCATTCCCTCAAAAGCCTAGCGACCTAAGGGATAGATGGGATGGGCCACGAGCGGCCATCCACAACATCAAATCAGACTTTAGCTTGAAGCCAAGCCTGGTTTGACTCCTGACTTGGCCATGCTCCAGGTTGTGTGACCTTGGAAGGTGGCTTAACCTCTCTGTGATCTTGGGGGCATGGCTTGCCCTCTCTATAAAACGTGAATAGCTGGGCATGGTGGCGCATGCCTGTAGTCCCAGCACTTGGGAGGCTGAGGCAGGAGGATCACTTGTGAGTTTGAGGCCAGCCTGGACTATATACTGAATTCAGGGCCAGCCTGAACTACAAAGGGAGACACTGCCTCAAAAAAAAAAACCCAAAAAAACCTAGAATTTCATCAATAAATGGTGCTCAATAAATGCTGGGCTGGGGATTTAGCTCAGTGGTGCTGTGCTTGCCTGGCAAGTGTAAGGTCCTGAGTTTGATCCCCGGTACCAAAAAAAAGAGAAGAAAATGGGACTAGCTAGTGAGCTGAGCTGTTAAATCCAAGCCCCTCCACTTTCTAGCTGGGGCACCCTGGGCAAATGCCTTCACCCCTCTGAACCTCAGAGAAGCTTCTCTGTCTACAAAATGGGCTCACTGGCCCCAGCTCCATAGGGTCGCAAAGAGTCAGTGAAGTAAGACAGGAAATGATGACAAACAATGACAATTTTGTTGAGTGTTGTGTGTGCCCAGCCCTGTGCTAAGGGCTTGGCATTATCCTTCAGCTTTATTGAGATTGGACGTGATGAAGTACCCATTCTTAACTTGTATGGCCTGATAAGCTTTGATGTAATCACCCAGCCATGAAACTATCATCGTAATGAAGGGTGACAACTCCTCTGCTTCCTCTCACCAGCTTGCAGTGTGGCCCCTGAGCTCCCATGGCATGAAATGCCTGAAGGCCATCTGAGAGTACTCAGGGTTCAAACCCTTGTCCCCACCACTTATTGCTAGCAATAGCCAGTGTGGAAGTCAGATGAGGTGCTCAAGGTCTTGTTGAAGGAATGAATGAGAGCCCCAATGCACTAGGGTGGCCCCCAGGGAAGTTCCCCAGAGGAGGGCCAGGCAAGGGTCCCTGAGCAGAACTCTGGCAGGAGCGGAGGGCTTTGTTTCTTCAGTCATTCATCCATCCAGTATTTATTGAGCACTTACTGTGTGACAAATCCTGTTCCAGTAACTGAGGACTGCAGATCCATATATTGGTCGAAGGCCCTCAGTGAGCTCGCTATAGAGGAGGGTGAGGATGGGGAGATGTTTCCAGTTCCAGTCACATGAAGGTGACTCTCCTGTGTCCTCAAGGTTAGCAAAGTGTGCAGTGTGGACAAAGATGCCTTCAATTGGGGGTCTGGGGACTTGCGAGGGAAGCAGTCAGACCCAAGGTTGGGAGTGGTTGGGATGAGTTGAGGAAGGGGAAACCCTCCCTTGCAAGGACCTTGGGGGCATTACTGTCATTGCCATGGCAACCAGGCTCCTATTACCCATATGCCCTCCCAGTGCCTCTGTCAGAGGCTCTCATCCATTTATGGACCATCTACTGTATGACCAGCCCTGGGGAGACAGTGGCAAACACCCTTATATTCACAGCACCTCATCTGGGGAGCGGAATGGGACAGAAAGACAGACAACCACATTTTAACAATGAAATAGAGCCAGGCATAGTGGGGCACATCTATAATCCCAGCACTCTGGGAGGCTGAGGCAGGATGGTTGCAAGTTTGAGCCCAGCTTGGGCAACTTAATAACTTGAGGAGACCCTGTCTCAAAAAGTAAAAAAATGGGGCCGGGGATTTAGCTCAGTGGTTTCGCCACCCGCTGCGCAAGTTCAAGGACCCAAGTTCGATCCCTGGTACCAAAAAAAAAAAGTTAAAAAATGATGAAGATGGCCTAGAACCTCAAGTGTGTGTTATTGAGCTTGGTGGGAGAGTAGGAGATATCGAAAGCATGCCTTTCATTGAGGCCTTCCGGCAGTTCCAGTTCAAGGTCAAAGAGGAGAACTTTTGTAATATCCATGTCAGTCTAGCTCCACAGCTAAGTTCAACAGGGGAACAGAAGGCAAAACCCACCCAAAACAGTGTTCTGGAACTTAGAGGGCTTGGGCTTTCCTCAGACTTGGTTGTGTGCAGGTACTCAAATCCTCTGGATACATCTGTGAAAGAGAAAATATCAATGTTCTGCCAAGTGGACCCTGAACAAGTGATCTGTGTCCATGATGTCTCAACTACCTACTGAGTCCCCTTGATGTTAGAAGAGAAAGGGGTTGTAGATTATTTTCTTCGAAGACTTGACCTTCCTGTTGAGAGGCAGCCACAAAAAATGCTGGTGAAGTGGAAAGAGATGGCAGACAGATACAATCGATTGCTAGAGATCTGTTCTATTGCCCTTGTGAGGCAATACACCAAGTTCTCAGATTCATATGCTTCAGTCATTAAACCTCTAGAGCATTCTGCATTGGCAATCAACCACAAATTGGAAATTAAATACATAGATTCCACAGACCTGGAGCTGAGCACCATGCAGGAGGAGCCCGTGTGCTACCACGAGGGCTGGCAAAAGCTCTGTAGTGCCCATGAAGTGCTCGTTCCAGGACGGTTTGGTGTTCAAGGAACTGAAGGAAAAATCCAAGCAATTTCCTGGGCTTGGAAGCAGAAAAAGCCTTTTTTGGGTGTGTGCTTAGGAATGCAGTAGGCAGTGGTTGAATTTTCAAGACGTGCTGGGATGGCAAGATATGAATTCTACAGAGTTTGACCCTAAGACCAGTCATCCTGTGGTCATAGAGATGCCAGATCCCTGGGCAGATGGGCAGAACCATGAGGCTGGACAAGCGGAGAACCCTGTTCCAGACCAAGAACTCGGTTATGAGGAAACTATGGAGAAGCAGACTAGTTGGAAGAAAGGCATCAACATAGATTTGAGGTGAATCCAGTCTTGAAAAAGTGCCTGGAAGAGCAAGGCTTGAAATTTGTTGGCCAAAACGTTGAAGGCAAGAGGATGGAGATTGCGGAGTTGGAAGATCATCCTTTCTTTGTTTGAGTTCAGTACCACCCCGAGTTCCTGTCCAGGCCTATCAAGCCCTCCCCACCCTACCTTGGCCTCCTCCTGGCCTCCGTGGGGCAGCTTCCTCATCACCTCCAGAAAGGCTGCAGGCTCTCACCCAGGGACACCTACAGTGACAGAAGTGAGAGCAGTTCTCCTGACTGAAATCACTGAACTGAAATTTCCATCAATAAATCACAACTGATCTGGAGATTCAAGAGAACCTTTGACTTTGATGGAGTTTACCGCTATGATTTTACATTTGGCTTTTGACACTTCTTTTTTTTAAAATTAATTGTATTGGTACATTTTAGATATATATATAATGATAGCATTCGTCGTAGGGAATTTGTACCTGTACATGATATATATATCTTGATTCTTCTTTTTTCCCTAATCCCTCCCATCCCTCAGCACTTCTTTTAAATTATGTTTTTATTAAGATTATTTTATTATGGAGAAAGGCATTCGGAAAACTGTCATTTGCATGTTCCATCATGGATACTGGCTCCTTTGACTGTATGTCCTGCCTGTTGTGTGTACAGCTTCTTTGTAGTTCCTCAGGTTCTGAGATGAGAAGCCGGACATCAGGTCAGGAAGTGATGGCTAGGGCTAGTAGAGGGCCCGTCAACCTTGTTTCTCCAACTACCTCGCGTCATCATGGGTTGGAGTGTATTGCCTCTTGCTTTCCTGTGGGTGCCTGGGCCATTAGTGTGCCATGTGGACTCGCCAAAACCAGAAGGTCCTGCAGCTTGTACCACTGATGACGTTTGCTGCTGGTAACCTGTGTGTGCAGCTTGCCTCTAAGAGCCATGAAACCAGAGCTAAAACCTCACTGCTGCTCCAAATTGATGGGGACTCTCGGGGCCAGCTATAGCTGGTCCTCGTCATCCAAAGGACAGTTTGATGGCACGTGTAGCCATGAGAAGCCTGTGTCTCTGAAGTGTGGTTTTAAACCCCTGTGCTGCTTCTTGTTCCTGAGGCTGGGGACACTCCTTGCATCAAGGGTTCACTTAAAAACACCTTTGGGGAAATTGCCCCTAAAACCCTCATCTATAGACAGCTTTGACTTGAGGGTGCTTTCTTCTTCCAGAATGGTGTTACTATAGGTGAGGCGCAATATGGGGAGCTATTTTCTTACTGTGATAAAATAAATGGCACAGCCATGTGCTCACTTTATTCTGACTGAACTCGATGTACACTCTAATTTAAGAAATAAACAATGCAGAAAAAAGAAAAAAAAGTAAAAACATGGGCTGGGGATGCAGTTCAGTACAAAGGCCCTGGGTTCAAGCCCTAGAACAAGGAGGAGGAGGAAAAAGAGAAGGAGAAGAAGAAGAGGGAGGAGGAAGAGAAGAAATAATAAATGGCCCAAGGGCCCAGTAGTAGGGGAGTGGGGTATCACACGGCCTCCACAGTCGGGGTGGGTGAACAGGCTGGGGAACGTGGGGGTCTGGAGGCCTCGAAGGCAGGAACCCTGGGATGTGGTCCGTGAGTTGCGATAGCAGGTGCTGTGTTTTTGCTGTGTACGATTTAAACAGAGCTGCCCGAGTCTCTGTGAGCGTGCCCTCCCCTGTCGGCCCGTGCCCTCTGCATCTGCCTAGGCCCTTTGTCCACTTTCTCTGCTGAGGTCAAGCATTCCTGCCTGGGACCCAGTGGCCAAGCCCCCTCCCCGGCCACTGTCTGTTACAGGCTCAGGCTTAATCCCGTGCCTGGGCGAGGGCCCCAGGGATGTGAGTCAGCCCCAGTCAGCTCTGCACAATGCTCCCTCCTCCTGGCCTTGGGGACAATGCTCCCATCCGGGCCATCCTGTCACCTGTAAAGGGCCCCGTCCCTTCAGGCATGTGCTGGGGATGCTCTGGCGCAGGAGCTGCTGAGCAGTGGGAGTGTGGCTGGGTCACTGAAGAAGGCAGTGTGAGCTCTATGGTCTACATCAGTAGTGGCGAACCTATGGCACTTTGCAATAATTAAGTGGGTTTTGGGTTGCAGTTTGGGTAGTCGGGCTCTAACAGGTTCGCCATCCCTGGTCTATGCTGTCCTTCGGGAAGAC